CCCCCCCCCCCCCCCCCCCCCCTGTCTCTCATCTACAGGCACCGATGTGAAGTTGAACGATGGATTTCTCCGCAGCGGCATTATGAACATTCCCTTCCAAAGAAGAGTGAGCCCGAAATACGGACACAACTTCGTAGGCAAGCGATCGGGGTTCCAGTCTCCCGTCTCCCCCTCAGATTATTTCATCCCAGACGAACTCAATGATGAAGACGAAAGTCCAAACATGGACACGTACGCCCTCTTCAGAGAATTGCTTGGAGAGTATCCATCATCAGAGTTGTCCGACGATGACGTCATCAGACCGTATCCCGTCGTGCCATGGGCTTGGGATAGGTTTGAAAGCAAGCGTTTTTCAAAAGAAAACGAGAAGCGCGGGAGCCCGGGTTTCAGCCACAGTTTTGTGGGCAAGAGGATGGATCTGTCTGCCTTGGAGAAAGAGTTGATTGCCAAACTGAAAGCTGCTGATTTGCTGAGTCCATTGGAAACGGAAGCCCCCGGTAAGCGACGGTTGCCTAGTTACGGCCACAGCTTTCTTGGAAAGAGAATGCCAGTCGACGTCTTCCCTAGAGCTATCCCTTCCTACTCGCACAATTTTGTTGGGAAACGTTCTGGCAACGGAGAAAACTACTTCGACGACCTCGACACATTTGGGGACATCTCTCAAAGGGCTGACCTGGGATTTACTCACAGCTTCGTGGGTAAACGTGGGAATACTGACTTTTCAAGAAATCCCTTGGCGAGATTATCTCAGGTACAAAACCGAGCCATTCCAAATTTTGTGCACAAGTTTGTCGGGAAGAGATCCGTCCATAATATCGTCAAAAGATCGAGTCCTTTCTACGGCCACAACTTTGTAGGTAAACGCGACTTTGAAGACGCCAGCGAAGGTCTTGATGAGGAAGAGGGAGATATCGATGGCTATTCCGATGATTTAGATGTTAAAAGAGTTCCAGGATATTCACACAGTTTTGTAGGAAAAAGAATACCGGGGTATTCTCATAGTTTTGTAGGTAAAAGAACGCCTGGCTATTCACACAGTTTTGTTGGTAAACGAGTTCCTGGTTATTCTCATAGTTTTGTAGGTAAACGAGTACCCGGCTATTCGCACAGCTTTGTTGGTAAACGAGTTCCTGGTTACTCTCATAGTTTTGTAGGTAAACGGGTACCCGGCTATTCGCACAGCTTTGTTGGTAAACGAGTTCCTGGTTACTCTCATAGTTTTGTAGGTAAACGGACTCCTGGCTATTCGCACAGCTTTGTAGGTAAACGGGCACCTGGCTATTCACACAGCTTTGTTGGTAAGCGGACACCGGGTTATTCCCACAGTTTTGTTGGTAAACGGGCACCTGGCTATTCACACAGCTTTGTAGGAAAACGAGCACCAGGTTATTCCCACAGTTTTGTAGGTAAACGGGCACCAGGCTATTCACACAGCTTTGTTGGTAAGCGGGTACCGGGTTATTCCCACAGTTTTGTAGGCAAACGGGCACCAGGCTATTCGCACAGCTTTGTTGGTAAGCGGGTACCGGGTTATTCCCACAGTTTTGTCGGTAAACGGGCACCAGGCTATTCCCACAGCTTTGTAGGTAAACGAGAACTAGGTGAGGATGAGATAAACTTTCTAAAAGAGGTAGACGCAGCAGACATTTCTAGACAACTTGCAGAAGAAGACGAAAAGGAAGCAATGGTATCAGTTGATGATAAAGAGACACTCAGCAACGAAGAAGACGCATCTGAAGACGATTTTGAGAAGCGGGAACTGAACTTCCAACACGCGTTCGTCGGTAAAAAAGATGAAGAGGGGGATATGGGGGTTGAAATGGAAGAAGAGATGGAATCAGAAAAAGGTCAACCAGGTTACGGAAACGCCTTCCTTGGAAAGAGGCAGCCGTCTTATGGACATTCGTTCGTCGGTAAGCGACAACCTGGCTACTCACACTCATTCGTGGGAAAGCGTGTGCCGAGCTTCGGACATTCCTTTGTAGGCAAACGGCAACCAAGCTATACCCATGCCTTCGTTGGGAAAAGGGATCCTGGTTTCAATCACGCCTTTGTTGGCAAACGCCAGCCTAGCTTCGGCCACTCATTTGTCGGGAAACGCCAACCTAGTTTCACACATGCGTTTGTAGGTAAACGACAACCTAGCTTTGGTCACTCGTTTGTTGGTAAACGATCAGGAGCAGAAGACATCGATAATACGTTTACGGATAACTTTGTGGTCAAGGGAAGCGACCCACTTGAAGACGTCCTTGATTTTTACAGTGATTCTCAGCTAATTGAGCAGCCTGCAGCCGCAAACGAGGAAGAGTTGCAACAAGAGGCTGCTGAGGAATCTGAAAATCAGACTGGAACGAAACAACTTGATGACAAAAGCAATGTGCCAGCTAGTTCATTGGGGGATGATTTGCCATCACCGGTGTCATTATCCAAACAGGAAGATGCAGAGGATTCGCACATCATGGCTACCAGCAGCACGTGATGGCCTCTCGTAGCTCTCTAAATTTTTTGTTGACTTTGTTTACTTGTGCTGTATTAAACCTGTGTCCCTTCTTACAAGCACAACTGTTTAGGTAAATCAGTTCGACCGTTGCAATAATGAAGCAGAAAATGACTGGAAATAGGTAGGAAAAAATCACCAAACAATAATATATCTAAGCCACAGACAACTGGAAAGGGTGAACTTCGCCGCTCTGCCCTGCCTCTGAAGGAGAGAAAGAGAGAACGAGAGATAGAGCGAAAGACTGATGACAATGTGGGCACCAAACACAAACCAGCATTCGTAAATAAGGAGAGAACAAAATGAAACTATAATCTACTAGGTAATCCACTCAGGATACGGCATTAGAACACATCAGAGCACTCGAAAAGTATCGTATCTTGTTTATCTATTCGGGGATTCACACAAGATAAATCACCGTACTAATGTGATATTGAAAAGAAATTCCGCGAGGCTTGGCTTAGAAAGGTCTCAGAAGCAAGAATAACAAAAAAGCCATGTTCTCTAAGCCACAGTAGAGGATCTGTCAACATACTCTATGTGATTGAAAAGTAACTCTCGACTGTGAGACTCTCTTCATTTATCATATCGAGTGCCCACTCTATGGCATATTTGCCACTTTGTTTTAGAATCCAAGATAAGATTGAATTGCCTTTCATCTCAATATCTCAGAAACAACAAAAGGGGAAATTGATCAGTCTCAACGTCTGCCAAACAGAAAGAAGAAAGGACTGCTACTTCATCATAATTTCTCAAAAATAACGAAACAATGGATTACTCTCATCTTCAGCCCTACTTCTTGACGAATCGAGATTGTGTTTTGGTGAATCCTAGATCTGTGTAGCATGTTGAAGAAATGCTTGAGAAACTCATATCAAACGACAAAAAGCTGCCTTGAGTGGAACAACAAAAAAAAGGAAAAACAAATTTGAACAGAGATACCAAGAGATTGAGAGCGAAATCGTATGCGCTTCAAAATGTAAAGCAAGTGGCTGGCAATGGATAGGTCAAATCTTGCATTTGATCATATTTTTTCGCAGAATTAAACAAGTTATACAATGTTTCTTTGATTGTTTCTTGTCTTGTCTTCAACATAGTACTGATTGTTTAGTAGTTTGTTTAGTTTTACAACAGGTACACAACTACTGCACAGCGTCTGTGGTTTGGCGGTGGTAGTCTAGTGGTAAGGCTGCCCAACCCGTAATCGTGAGACTCAGCTCACTCCGACGTTGTGTCTTTTGGAAAGGCACTTAACGCAAAAGTCCCCATTCGGGTCGTCCCTCTTGAAGATAGACATTAAATTGGAGGTCCTACCTCTTAAATTACCTCACAGTATTTACAGGATCGTTACACCAATAAAATAAATTTCTCACATTTCGTGTCTGAGATGTAATGGTAAGACTATTTATTGTAGTTTCTCTGAGTTTGAAGAATATTTCCTTTAAATGTAGGTGTTTTTACCTCCATGTCGACACCATTTCAGACAGGCTTCAGATCCTGCTTTTAAAGACCAGGCTTTTTTCGAGAGGGATACATTCCAACAGAAAGACCGAAATTCTCGATAAAAATGTTCTCCCCACTTAGAAATTATAAATATAAATCGAATATATATAGTCTCTATGCTGCGATATAATCCATTCCTCATGAGTTGTTCCAAAAGGACTGAGCAGAAGCAGCTCATCTAATGAATGGCTTAAATTACGTCGAAAGGGACGTAAAACATAATAATATACCACTAACCACCTCAACACACAGTATCTCGAAAATACAACGCGTCATAAGAAATTAATGTTTAAAAAAATTATAGATTCATCTGAGTTGCCAGTGTTTCGATATCGCTGGTGTCTGATACTATACTTGTATTTTGCCAAATTAGCTCAAACCCTTTTTTACACGAAATGTGAGTAATTGTTTTAGAGAACAGTACTAGGAAAGAAATTACATTTATTTGTCCCCATAACGTGTTTAACCTTCACTAAATTCTACACAACGTTTTGAGCTAAGAAAAAAAATATTATAATTTCCCCTCAAAAGGTGTTTGACCTAATTTGCTGGACACACGTTCAGAGTCAGACACCGACTACTATACAGGGTGATCCATAAAAAAAATGTACAACATTATAAATAAAAATATTTTCCTCCACATTGAAGTCTTGCATTTCAAATTGGTACACAACATTTGGAAGTCAGAAGAAATTTGTTTGATATTCATTTTAGATAAATCCACACAATAGTTTTGCTCTACGTAACGCGTAAAAAAACAACCCATTTTCAGCTATACCCCATTTTTGTAGCATGATGCACTAGTTTGCTTTAGGCCTACCACTAAAAATCCCAACGATTGAGCCATAATGCAACTACAGTAGTCTAATAGGCCAGCAGAAGTTTGCAGATAGTTTTTCTCAAATTTCCTTTGCCTGCTTAGATCATGGTTAAGATTAGTAAAGAGAAGAGAGGCTTTTGTATTGACGTTTCCTAACCACCAACTCATTTTGTAAATTGCGCACAGGGTACGTAAATGATGTTAAAGTGAAGGCCTTCTTTGATGTCCAGGGAGAAAATGGTCCATCAGTTAGGACCTGTAGAGAATCAGAACTAAAAATTCCCAGACAAAATGACCACTTTATGTCAAACATACACCGTTCTCACCCCTTTAAACGTCACCAGGGTGCAGAATTCAGTAGAGGAGCCCCATGAGATGTCTGTCCGTAGACGATGTCTGCAGAAATGACTTTCCTACATTTGAAGGGTTCACCTTCTCAAGGCAGATCTACATCTACGACTGTACCATTTTTCCAGTTCACGAAGCTATCATCAGAGGATAGCAATGTGTTCCTGATTCCTCGATCGTCTTGAAAAGCGTGCAACACTTGTTTCCTTGGCAAAGCCCATATTCACCTTTTAGCCTATATCAACTCCACAAATGATGTCTGTTCGGGCACTAGAAATAGCTCCATACTGTAAGGTGTACAGTGTGTGTGGCTTTGAGTTCTCATGGTTGAGAGGATCCTTGTGTTTGGTCACCACTGAACGTTACGAACGATGCATTCAAATGCGTAGAGTCCAAAGGAGGACATAATTAGAAACCAATGGTTCTCGGAATTTCAGAATTCTAAAAAAAAAAATTTTAAACTCTGTAGGAGAAAAGAAATATTGTTTAAAAATTACAGGGATGGAAAGATTAGATTTTAAAAATAAAAGGAAAGAAAAAAAAATCATGTCATGGCTTTCCTTACAAGATCTTTTAAATTGGTGCATTTTGAATTTTAAAGGCGGTTTTTATAGAATCCATTTCCGTTTTCGAAAATAAGTTTCTTCTTTGTGAATGTTAAGTCAAACAAATTCCTTTCAAATGAATTATAAATGTTCCAAATTACAACATTCTTGCACAAATTTTGTGCAATATATATATTTTTTTTTAATTGTGCTGATTTATTTATTTATTTATTTTTTTATTTTTTTTTGGGGGGGGACCGCCCTGTACTTCTTAGCTCTTTACTAGTTAATAATAATAGATCATTCATAGCATATTTTGTATAGCGCATATCTCTGCTGAACAGTAAGCTCTATGCGCTTTACAATCCATGCCATTACCCCAGCAGACCTGATAGCGTTCTGAAACAATCTCAATTTCCTTGGAAGCATACAGTGCAAGCTGTTATTAATATGTCTTAAAACATTAAACTACTGACAAGATATTTTGCTGTCTATGCTCGGTTATCCATTTCCACCTATTTTTTAAAAAAGGAAAACCCGTGTAAAGTGTCTTTCCCAAGGACACAACATCGAACCTAAAGCTGGAACTCTCGAACCTGCAACCTCATGGTTAAGAGTCCGGTAGCCTGACCACTAACCGATGTTTCTACTTTTTTAATAAGTGCATGCTTCCCGTTCGACACAAGAAAAGAGATATGCTTCTCACTTCTTCTTCTTTTTTTTCGTTCGGGTGAGGGGTGCTTTGAGTTTGAAGAATATCTTTCTTTTTAATGTAGGTGTTTTTCCTCCCCGTCAACACAATTTCAAATCCCGTCTGTTAGGACCAATCCAGGTTGGGGGCTCCCGTGGCCTAGAGGTTAAGGTGTTGGCCTCTCTTTCAAAGGTCCCGGGTTCGAATTCGAGTAGCGACCGAAAAATTTTCTTCTCTAAAATTGTCTCCTTTCACCTCCTTTCCTGCTCTCTAGCAATGTTTTGTTGTCTGCTTTCATTTCCACTTTCTGCCCCCACTCCTTCACCTCCTTTACCCCCTCCTCATGGCTCCTGACTATTTCTGCAGCCTTTCTACTGCTACTCCTTGGCTCCTCCTTACTGCTGTCTTTCTGCCACACCCCTGATCTTCTGGTAGGAAATATCTACACCTAGCCTTCTCGGACAAGGGCGAACAATCTCGGAGGGCCCGTGTGCAAGTTGCGCACGTTAAAGATCCCTTGGTGGTCTAAAATCGATAAGAGTAGGCTTTGGCCGCCACCCGGGCAAAATTCAAAATTTTCTACCAACTGAAAATATTAGGTGTGTCCCGCGCGCTCATATGACCTTATGCAGTTGCGAGCGCCGTAAAACACTTTACAAAAATAAAAAAACAACCCAGGTTGAGAGGGATTGATCTACATCCCGACAGAAAGACCGAGATACTCGATAAAAATGTTCACCCCATTCGGGAATCAAACTGGAGTCTCCTGTGTGTGTCAGTGAGGCGCCTGGCCGCTTTAGCACAGGCGCCGGTACTTCAAAGCGTGATACATGTATTTGCTTCAGGGTATTGTCTCTGTCTTCTTTCTTTTGTCTTCCTCATTCTTTCCAAGACTCTAGGCAAGATGCCCCGCCTTTGAAATGAACCAACTGTCGTTGTTTAGTGTTTCCAAGGGATTTTCAAGTCGTACAAAAAGGGACAAAATATTTTTTTTAAACATTGTTTTTTTTTTCTTCCAATTAATCTAGTATTCCTGTGTATTGCGCGTTTGTGTTTGAAAGAGACATTTAACCTTGGCTTTGAAAAAACTAACTAACAAACAAACAACAATCAAACAAACAGAAACACTGCTTGCCGAAGGCGACAACATTGACCCACCATACTGAAGTGAGAGGTTCTCCTCCGGGTGGGTGTTCTAAATTTTAATATTTTGCATGTCTTATCTGCTGAAATACTTCCTCACAGTCTGATGAATTGTCAAGCAGGACCAAGTACTCCACTTTCGGAAGACTTGCATCCTCTGAGGAAGGCAGGGAAAGTCAAAAGACGAAGACAACAACAGTGGCTATAGCAACAACAGCAAGAGCAACAATAACAACAGCAACATTAACAAAACCAAGAAAAAATAACAGAAACAACGAAAACAACAGCAACAGCAACAGCAACAGCAACAGCAGCAACAGCAACAGCAGCAACAGCAACAACAACAACAACAACAATACAACAACAACAACAACAACAGAAACAGCAACAACAACAATACAGCAACAGAAACAACAATACAACAACAATACAACAATAGAAACAACCAGGCTTCAGGGATTCCCAAGGACATATAAGGGTGGATGCCTACTTTCCCCTGATGAAGTAGTGGGGATGGCCAACAAGGGCGCCTAAGCAAGAAGCATATATAATAATAATAATAATAATAATAATAATAATAATAATAATAATAATAATAATAATAATAATAATAATAATAATAATAATGATAATAATAATAATAATAATAACAGTAATAAGAATAAAAAGAATAATAATAATAATAATAATAATAATAATAATAATAATAATAATAATAATAATAGTAATAATAATAATAATAATAATAATAATAATAATAATAATAATAATAAATTGCATTTATATAGCGCATTTCCACAAAGAAGTGCTCAATGCGCAGTACAATAATACAAAGAACATATGCAGCGCACAGCTCC